GTCTACGTCTTCTTCCATCCACACCCCTCTTTTCATCTTTCCCTCTCTCTCAGTGAGCAGTGAGCAGCGAGGTGTCTCCCCGACCGACTCGAACCCGGCATGTGCCTGCTCTGGCGCGTCTTGGGTCCCAGGAGAGTCATGACACTTGACGGCAGAGCCCGAACAAAAGAAAACCAGAGTTGCGACGCTTGAATGCTTGAACGAACCGCGCCGTTGACAGCCTTGCTTTTGGGGAAACACCCCTCCCCTCCTTGGCCGAACAACGCCGAAAAATAAGGACAGACTCAGAGACATTGCCTCTTGTCTGACCAGTCTGCCAGCAAAAGCCTCAGTCAGGCGCCTGTGTCTATTATATTAACCCTCTCTTAATATTGCCTGCCCACTCCACCATACCCGAACAGGGATCTTGGAACTGGATGTGTGCCCCAAGCGAGTTGAACTCGGCCCCTGGTCTCTAGCAATCTCGTGAGCCGATCCCCCCCTCTCGCCCTCCCTTCTCCGTCTCTCTCACTCTCTCTTTCACACGTTCACACCCCCCTTGGCCCATACACCTTTCCACTTCCTGCCTTCGTCGGCGTCTCTGCCCAACGGTCTTCTAGAAATGTTGCGGGCCAGTAGCCTACAACAACCGTCGGAGGATTCTCTGTCTAGTCTTCTTATCGAGCGACCCCCCCCTCTTCAACCCCTGGGCATTTCGCCATGATGCTTCCATTGGTCAAGACGAGGGTATTGGGGCCTTTCCAGCCTGCGATTTCTCCTCGAGAGATGGTCCCCCCTCGTGCCTCCGTACGATCCATGCCAGGTTCTTCTCCGTCCCTCCATCTCGACAGAGCTACGTACCACACATGCCACCCTGCTCACCAGGGTCAGTAGTGCCAACCCTGAAGGCTTGCCGTCAACTCTCTTCCATGTCTTTTGCTCCTAGCGATGCCAGTTTGTGCAAGGGACTTGTTCACGCCTTCGGCAGAAGCGGGGGTGTGCTGGAGGGGAGAAGAGAGAGAGAGAGAGAGCAAGAGGGAGACTGTGTGTGTGTGTGTGTGTGTGTGTGTGTGTGTGTGTGTGTGTGTGTGTGCATGTGCGCGCGCGTGTCTTCGAGGCCGATCGAGTGAGAGGAGAGAAAGAGAAACAGATAGAGAGAGAGAGGGAAAAGAGTGTGTGTACGGATAGAGAGGAAGTGTGTGTATGCCAGTGTCCAACTGGGGCCATTCGACCCGTGTGTATCCATGATACCTACGTAGCTATGCATCTTTTCTCAGGTATCGTATGTATGTTTATGTGCGGGTGCGGGTAATGAAGACTGGTCTTGGATGTGCGAATATGCGTCGGCTGGTTCTACTTGTTCGTAAGTGTGTTTGGGCGAATAAGCGTCGCTGTTTCTCCATGCCCCGGAGCTCGTCCGTCATATTCACTCCGTGGTCTTGCTCACACTAACAAGTCACTAAAACTAAGGTAAGGTAAATATTGCGTACCTTTGCTTGGACGGGCCAGTAGTCTGTATGCAAATTCATAAACCAGAGCTACACTACTGCAACAGCAGTAAAAGGCCCTGGACCTGGTATCCTGAAATGTGCTCGTTTGCTCTTATCAAACCGTTTCAGTGCCGCCCCTCGTCCTGGGCCCTCGTCGACTTTGTCTCCTCCTCCTCCTCTTTTGCCAGTCTGCAAGTCTTGGTCTACGGCCTGCGTGTTGCTGCTGCGTGCTGCGAGCTGCGTACTGCGAGCTGCGTACTGCGTGCCCCCTTCCCCATAGCGCCGCCTTCTAAGAAGGGTATTTCCCTAAACCTGGTCGCCGCTCTGCAGGGCGCATCCATACTCCATCGTCGTAGCTCCATAGCGTGCCTTGTTCTTCCGCTCACCAGATCGCCCGCTCCTCACCTTTCTCCTTCCCAGTATGGTTGCATGCACTGACCGTCCTGTCCAAGAACCCGCCGTCTCGTTGTACCGGTGACCTTGTCTTTGCCGCTGCCGCTGAAGAAGGCACAGGTCAACGGCCCAGCACGAGGAACATCCCGTTGAGACATCAACTTGCTGCTCGACTCGACTCCGACTCGACTCGAAGCAACCTTGACCTTGAACCTCGACCTTGCCTTGGCTGGCCTCCCCCAGCCCTGCCCCATCATAGTATCCACCCCAGAACAGTGCCGAAGATTTTCATCAGACACCCCCTCCAACATCTACCGTCCTCTTGCTACCCATCCACCCCATCAGATACAAGTATACATCTCTCCCTGCAACCTTAAACATGACCGTCGTCCGTTGATCCTCAACTTCATCTTTGCATCTTCTGCATCTCTCGAGTCTTCGCCATCACTCCTCGAGATCAAATAACACACTCGCTCATCCTCCCCTTCGCTTTACCAATCCAACCTCCTTTGGTCAAGATAACTTGCCTTAACAACGTACATACATACCTCTTGTCGATCATCCAGCAAGGACCTCGACATATCGTTGTGTAAAGTACACACCGAGACAGAGAAAGAAGAAGAAGAAGAAGAGTGACAGAGGCGCGCTTGGGTCTGGAACAGGACTACAGCGCACCAGAGAGGCATGCTCTAATGTCAACCACGGTCACTTACCCCGTCATGGCAGAGCTGAAAGAGCCGGCACATTCCAATCTTTGGTCGAACTATGGGAGTCCCGTCCAAATGTCGTCTCGATTCAACAACAGCCTGGATTCCGGCCTCGGAGGCCACGCCGCCAACTCACCACACGCGGGACGCCCTAGGAGCACCCACCCGAGTGTAGACCACGGATCTTATCCCTATGGTCGCTACCCCCAAGACGAATCCGATGCGTACGACAGACATTCGCATCCCAGCTTGACATCCCACCACAGCTTCCCCAACCTCAAGAGACCCTACTCGCAAACCGAACAGCCCCCTTACCAGGAGATTGTCCAGGACTTGCGTGACGATGGCTCCAAACTTACCGTCAACCACGACCACAAGCTGCTTTCCTTCAAGAGGGTGCAAGACAAGCATACTATTGTCGACCAGCATGGACGCATGCAGCAGCTGGAGCTGTCCGCTCAGCTGCACGGAATGTTCTTCCTGTCCGAAATGCCAGCCAACAGCACCGACGGTTCCATCCTCCAGCCCGAGCTGACTTGCTACCGACGAAACCTCTTCCAGATTAGCGGCTCTCTCATTACCCCGCGAGGCCAGCTCAATGTCATATCCGAGACTGGCGAGACGGTCCCTGTTAGTAACACCGAAGTAACCATCTCTGCCATCGAGTCTGTCGACGGCCACCCCGTCCGACTCATCGTCATCCCCTGGAAGACGCCGCCACCCAACTCCCCAGAGATTACCCAGACCCCCGACCAGGAGCCAGCATCACTTCCCTTGATCCCGTTCCAAGAAGATGGTTCGGAATCCGACGGCGAGTATGCCGTCTACCCCATTGGCTGGCGCCGACTTCAGTTCAGAATGTGAGTAACACAGCCGAAGCGCACTTGCGCTGACATGCCGAATCTTGACTGACTTGACAAAGTGCCACCGCAAACAACGGGCGGCGAAAGGAACTGCAGCAACACTTCGTGCTCCACCTCAAGGTGGTTGGGACGTTGGCCAACGGAAGCAAGATTGTGCTTACCGAAGCGACTACAGCGCCCATTGTTGTCCGAGGCCGCAGCCCTCGCAACTTCCAGGCGAGAAAGGAGATTCCCTTGCTGGGATCGAGCGCTGGCTCCAGGGGCCAAGCTTTGGTCGAGACTGGACTGGGTATTGTGGCAGGACCGTTGGCTATCAAGCCGCAGGATGCCAAGGCAAGAGGATTGGACATGCAGATGCCCCGTTCCGCCTTTACCTTCAACGCAGGAGGGCCCAAGATGCCGGGAGCACCCATGGGAGCCATGAGATCCAAGTAAGTCAAACCGCCTTCCCTCAATGCCCATCACTTGATCGACATTGTTGCAATACGAAGCCCGGTTACTAACCCATCGTAGCTCGTACCCCAACTGGTCCTCCTCGAACTCTGTGCCCGGGATGCCACAGCTACCACCAGCTGGCTCGGGAAGCTACCCGGCCACGACTATGGGAGAATCTTACCACAAGGTTGCTCTGCCAGGAAGTGCAAGCTTCGGTGGAGAAGCCCATGAGATGCCTTTGCAAACGTCGATGCCTTCCGTTCAGCTTTCTCTGGTTGCCAACGAACAGCAGCAGCCTCCGATCAGGACACAATACGCTTACGTGCAAAGCACGACTGCCCCGCCACCACTATCAGTATCGGCCACGGCAATGGCATCGAGCTCAGACAACGCGCTCAACGTGCCTAGATATGTCGACAACCCTCGACCCACCAAAAGCCCGAGGCATGCGAGCCAGCCTTCCATCGGGTCCATGTCTCATCATGAGGCATCTCCAGAGTACCGGTACGGGTCTTCTTACGGAGCAGTGGGCAGTAACCCCAGCGACATTGCACCGCCGTCCTACAAGCCCGACCCCCCCGCGTCACACTCCAACCCTTCCCGAGACTACTACCCGCCCTCGAGCTCATGGACAACAACAGCCGGAGAGCCTGCCTCGACGGTCGCATACAGCAGCAGTGAGGCAAGGCCTTATGGCTTCCCTGAACAATACTCGAGCGGAGGCTCTGCGCCAACCACTAAGCACGAGCACGCTCCCGCTCCGCCAGCCCCTGGGTCATACAGCAGCGCCCACCGGGGATCGTTTGATGGCATGAACCATTACTCCTGGAACACTAATTAGCTGCGAGAATAACTGATTGGCGGCTGGGTCACGCCACTTGTCTCCAAACTCAAGGGACAATAATAGGTCGGGCCAAACGATGCTTGGGCTAAGAGAAGCAAGCTTTTAGGGCCGAGCTTGTTTCGGGGCCTGGCACGACAGCCATGACTGTGTACCACTATACCTTCAATCCGAGGCCAGAAGAGTGATTGCGGTTTGGGTTCGACTTTTTATCTTCAAGTACCTAGGTGCGATATTTCGATTCTGGAGCGCTGTCGAGGCGAGGGATTTATACCGATTGGAATACGGCATATCCCACGGTTAAGGAGGTTTCCCTCTGGCAGTTGCCATTAGTGGCTCTGCTCGGCATGGGCGTGATTTTTTACAAGGTCTCATGACAGACCGGACCCGAGCATAATTTGGGTAGGCGCAGCAACGACATGGTTGAGATCGGCGTCAAGAGACGGGCATTGTCTGGGTGGCTGGGCATTTCGATACCACACGGAGGATAGCATTGACGTCGAACGCTCCGGCCGGACGCTTCTATCACCGGCTCCGGGCCGTGCTGCGACATTGTGTGGGCGGGGGTTACTTAACGATATGTATGGTATTTCTTGGTTTTGTTGAGCGCCGGGTATCGGACAAGGAAAGCAATGAAAGGCATTGTGGTCTTGACTCGGCATCCTTGGTCCCGAATGCGCCAACATTGGCAAATTGTGTTGCCTGTGAGAAGGAAGGGTATTGGGGGGAAGGAAAAGGACAAAGCCACAAAGGGCTCAGCCTCGAGGATGGGATGACGTCCAGACTGAGAAGGTCCTTGGCTGGTAGCCTTGTCACAACTGTGTGGTTGGGTCCCGCCATCCACACCTCGGAGAGAGTTCGTCTGATTTACCCGGGACGGATCCAAACGGTTGGGTCCCGGCATGGGAAGGCACCGGCGGTGTGGGAACGGATGGTGGTAGAGTGCTGGTTGGCTGGACGTCCACCCAGCGTGGTGGCGTTCCTTCTGTGCGTGGTTTCTCGGACTCTTGATGAAGATTTTTTGTGTTTTGGTTTGCTAGAGAATGAGGATAAGGAAGGGAGACAGAAAGATAAGGGATAGTATAAGAGAGAGAGAGAGAGAGAGAGAGAGAGAGAGAGAGTGTGCAAGAGGCGAGAAAATAGGCCAGAAAATGCGCAAGCAAGCAAATAGGCAATGAATAAGCATCCATTCCAGCCCAAAAATCCACATTGGTTCTTCTTTCTCCCGTCGAGGTCCGTTGTCCGAATGGGGGAGACGCCAGAGCTCGTATTTGAATCAGTTTGGTTGTTCAGCATGATGAGTAGGTAGGCGGATACGGGCACCGGGCACGCGGGTCATTTATGTTGTTTGGTCTACGACTGTTGGTGCGTATACAAACATGGAAATAAGCCACCGACCTAGGTTGGTTGGATTGGGGGACCTTGGACCTCTCCACCCCCCTTCCCAACATTTACCTGATGTAGGATAAGGTGAGGTGAGGGTGTCTGACCATCTCTTTTCATATTTCTGTGAGGGAGATTACCACCACCACCACCACCGTTCGGCGGCGTTTCTACGATCCCACGTCCCACTCACACACAGGTACGAAGTGGACGAAGTTACCTGACGTGGTCGCAGTCACGATCACACCTTGCTTTGCGTTGCGGCGTTGCGCACGAGGCTAAAGGTGCGGGCCACTGCGGCAGGGTCCGCTCAGCTGGGAATTTGTGATGCCAATAGTGTGATGGGGGGAGGAGGAGGGGGGGGAGGTCTAGTGCTGCGTTGGCGCCGGCGGTAGGTAGGCTCGCAACACAGCGCGCGGAACGGGTGCGCTTGAGCGGAAGACGGGACCTGTCCTGTCCTGTGCTCAGGTTGCTCTCTGGTCTCTTGCCTTTTTTGTGTGTGTTCGTCTGTCTGCATGTTGTACGGCATAATAACGGGTACGCTCTTTCTCATGATGAGCATGGTGAGGCTTGGCGAAGGAGAGACAAACGGAGAGACGGAAAGAAAGGGAGAGAGAGGGGTCTAGGTAACTCCGTAGAGGAAGGAAGAATACGAATGGTGTAATTTCTGTCACTGTGGTTCACCCTCTAGCTCCAGAATCCTTCGTGATGAGAATCCACAGAGACTATCCGCTTTGAGAGAGAGAAGTGAAGAGGGTACTTTTGGCGGGTAAGAGAGAGAGGCACGGGGGATGTTTGTTGGATCGATTTTTTGGACGTTGGAGTCGTATTCTTGATGTTAGCCCACCACCACCTACCATCACCGATACTACCAACGCTGTGATACGCCGCATACCGTGGTAGGTTAGGTATCTTACATTCCACTTACGCAACCCACGTAACCCACGCTGCCACGCAGGGCGAACGCGGGTGATGCCCGGTTCGGGCCTCTTGCTGGAGGATGCTGCCACTGCATCAGTGCCACTACCACCGCTGTGCGTGGGATTTGGCTCGTTATGTGTGGTGTGTGTGCCGTTTCATGCATGCATGTATGTATGTGCGGACGCGGCGCAAGGAGACGGTTGTACGGATACGCAGTAGAGCATCCGTAGTCCGTACCAGAGTGTGTGTACCCGTACCCCTTTGGCTGAGCGATATCAATCAGGCTCGAAGGATCTAGGATGCCGTGGCACGCGTGGGTGCTGAGTTCGGAGTGGTTTGGATGAAAAACTGCTGGGCAGAATGTACGGATACCTTGACACGCGTGCGCGGGAACTTGGATGAGGGGGGAGGGGAGAGGAGGGGGGGTGAGGGATGAGGGGACCCGAGCAGCTGGTAGGAATGACGATGATCCTTCTCAAAGAAGGCGCACCACACCCGCTCCCCCCTCTCAAAGAGATGAGGTTTGGTGAACGGAGACGGATACGGATACATAGGTACGAAAAGAGAGAGGGGAGGGGAGAAAGGGCTCCGCTGGCGCGTTTACTTTCCCACATTGTTTGAACCCCGGCGGCCCGCCTTTTGCACCTTGGTGTCCCCCTCCCACCCCTTGCTTCCCACGTTATGTTTCCGACTGTCACTTTTTTGGCTCCCACGGTGTCAAGGTGTGTTCGTACGGATACCTACCAAAAAACTCCACACCTCCTTGTTCGGTGGCTTGCTGGGGTGTGGTTTGACAAGCTGACGGCGGACACTGGGCAGGAAGTTCGATGCCGTCGAGTGGGTGAGCGGGCTGTCATGTTTTGGATTGAGGAGGTATTAATAGAGGTCAGACAGACGTTTGGGATGGGGGATGAGAACGTGGGAACTTTGGGAAGAGGTGTATGTTTCGAAATATCGGGTGCAAAATGGGTGGAGTCTACACGGTGCGACTTGTTTTTGGCAGTGAAGTTGAGAGAGACGGAGACTTGAATTGGAGTTGTTTTCAGAGGGTGGCCAGTTCAACACTTGCCACTGACAAAGGGAGGAAGAGTTGTGGTATCCGTGATCTACCTACTTACTCAAGTATCTAGTAGCGGATTTGAGAAGCTTCCTTGAATCAAACGTAAAGAGGCGACGGCGATGGCAGTTGCTTGATAATCTTGAGAACCCGGTTGGTGGTAATGATGCAGCGGTCATCTCTGATCTTCGGCCGTAAAGCAGAAATACCACCCGCTTGCATAAGCACCCCTTTCAAGATTTCAGACATAGGGTATGTACGGATACTCCGTATTCATACTTGCTTGTAGGTACATGAACAAGTTTGCGTACGGCGCGCAGCCCATCTCTGATTATCGCGTTGAGTTATCCGTACCCATTCGTATGGATACCTTGCATCTCTCTTAGTGGTACTCCGCACTGTCACTGTGGTAGGACCTCACAACGGTGCGATAAGATAAGGTTCGCCGCTCCCACTTTAGCGAGCGAAAATCTCAATTGAACGGCTCCGCGATCGGGCGAAATTCCACCGGTCAGCCGCCCGCCGTCCATCACATTGCGACCTTCCGTCCCGTGCTCAGAACTCCACATAGCACCGATCGCATTGCGAAGTTGCTCTTTCGCCGGTTTTTTTGCCCTCTGCTTCGCACGGGGACTTGGCGATCGAAATCCCGGCCAGTGTAGATTGCAATTCGCTCACTCTTCGTACTCCCTCGTCTGGCGCCACAACGTCACAACGTCCACGGCACTTTTCCGCTGCTGCCCTACCTGATTACCCGGCAAGGAGAATCCCTTTCCCTGGAAGCACGCAGCCATGTTTGAGCTTCCCGACGCGAAGAGGTGAGGCGGCAGCATTCTACTCCTGCGAACCCCTGCGCCGGCAGCAGCGCTGACCACAACTCGCACGCACAGAGTCCGGCGAGAGGACCTCGAGGGGTCGTCCGACGACGAAGGAGCGGGCCACGACGAGCAGCAAGATGCGGACCTCTTAGCGAAGCTGCATGCCCGTATGGCGGGCATGCTCGACCTAGGCGACGCCGACCAGCAGGCCCCGACAGAAACGACCGAGCAACCGACGACGACGGACGGAGAAACGGCAAAGGACGACGAGCCCGAGGAGTTCGAGTTCAGGCTCTTCACCACATCGAACCCGGCGACAAAGATTGCGCTGGTCGACGAGGACGAGCGCGCAATGGCGGGTGACGGGGCCATGATCCGCAAGAAGCCGCTGGCGTACTACATCGCCGGGGAGCCGACCCCCGAGGCGAAGGCGGAGCTCGCTTTCTCGGCGGTGTCGGGCGAGGAGGTTCTCGAGTGGGCGCAGCGGCGGTGGTGGGGGATGGAGCAGCCTTGGCGGGTGACGACGATTCCTGGCACCACGGTGCCGTCGTCAAAGAAAACGGCAGCAGAAGCAAGAGCAGGAGGAGACGCTGGAGAAACAAAGGAGGAGGCGGACGCGGCGGCGGCGAGGAGGAGGCGGCCTGGGAAGAAGAAGCGTCTTGCGATACGGGTTAAGCGGCGGGAGAGGGAGAAGAAGATTGAGGAGGAGGAGAAGTTCAAGGCGGGTAAGGAGGAGGCGCTGAAGGAGAAGAAGAAGCGGTTGAATCGTTTGAAGAAGCTGAGGAAGAGGGCCAAGGCGAAGGAGGAGAAGAATGGGGGTGGGGAGGGTGATGGTGAGGGTGGTGAGTCGGGGTCTGATGGTGATGATGAGTGAGTTATCTGCCAGACTTTCCATCGTTTAAAACCGACAACCAGAGCGACAAGATTGTGCTCTGTTCCCCGTTGCAGAGGTCATTGAGCAGCATCTATTCGAGAGATCACAAGGGCAATGAGTCCACTTGCAACAACCGTGGATGACTTTCCTTGTCATATCTCCAACAGCGTGGTAGCTTTCAATTTTGGATCTCAGCGGAGGAGTGGTTTGCAACTTGGCACATAGCAGAAGCGCACTTCTTACTGGCCTTGGGACTTAGAGGTGTGACCTGTTTGGATCATTGACCTCATCTGTACTGCCAGAGACAAACGGTTCGAAGAGTCCTCGTTCTCGACCGCAACTCCATTGACTGACAACAAGGATCAACTTCCGAAAACAACTGCATCTTTGAGGCTCTTTTCCTTTCGAATTCTTGCCAGCGCAATTGTTGAGAGTCAAGTCTATCAAAACCACCATCTGCATGACGTGCAAGACTTAAAATGTGCCCCAGCCAGTCAACACTCGCGCATTACCGGAGCAGCACTCAAGGGAGGCGACGCGACGTGAATGGCTTGCGTAGTGGGGCCGGGGAGAGCACTGACATACCGGCCCGCCAATGGACGCAGGAGCTCCAGCAGACCTCCCCCCGTCTTTCCTGGTCGAAAAGGAATGTCCCGGCAGCAAAAAAATTTCGAGGACGCCGACTCCCATCAGACGATACCTACCTCATCAACCTCCCTCCCCCCTATCACCACAAAGCCGTTGTCGACAACGAGCATTTCCATCGTCCATCTCCTCTCTGTTCCTTCTTCTCTCTTTCTACTGTACTATTTAATACCCACAGCCTGCGAAAATGTCCGCCTCCCTGAGATCCGTTGCGCCGTTCTTCCGGACGGCGCGCGCCTCGCTGCGCCAGGGCAACGTTAGCCCCCTTCAGGCCGCTCTGAAGAGACAGAACGTCTCCCCCATCCTCAACGTCTACCGCACATACGCCGTCTACGAGCGGACAAAGCCTCACGTCAACATTGGTATGCGAATTCGGCCTATGAAGGCTTGGGAGATGTAGCTAATCTGGGGATCATTTTACAGGTACTATTGGCCACGTCGATCACGGAAAGGTACATATTCAGACTCGAGGGGTTTGTGCCATTACCCAATGAATACTGACCAACCCCCCCGTCCCACCCAATAGACCACTCTGTCCGCCGCCATCACCAAGAGACAGGCCGAGAAGGGCCTCGCCAACTTCCTCGAGTATGGCGCCATTGACAAGGCTCCCGAGGAGCGCAAGCGTGGTATCACCATCTCCACTGCCCACATCGAGTACTCAACCGACAACCGCCACTACTCCCACGTCGACTGCCCCGGTCACGCCGATTACATCAAGAACATGATTACTGGTGCCGCCAACATGGACGGTGCCATCATCGTCGTCGCCGCCTCCGACGGTCAGATGCCCCAGACCCGTGAGCACTTGCTGCTCGCCCGTCAGGTCGGTGTCCAGAAGATTGTCGTCTTCGTCAACAAGGTCGATGCCATTGACGACCCCGAGATGTTGGAGCTCGTCGAGATGGAGATGCGTGAGCTTCTCAGCACCTACGGCTTCGAGGGTGACGAGACCCCTGTCATCATGGGTTCCGCCCTCATGGCCATGCAGAACCAGAGACCCGAGATTGGTCAGGAGAAGATTGACGAGCTGCTCAAGGCCGTCGACGAGTGGATCCCCACCCCTGCCCGTGACCTCGAGAAGCCCTTCCTCATGTCCGTTGAGGATGTCTTCTCCATTTCTGGCCGTGGTACCGTCGTTTCCGGCCGTGTCGAGCGTGGTCTCCTGAAGAAGGATACCGAAATCGAGATTGTCGGCAAGGGTGACCAGATCATCAAGTCCAAGGTCACCGACATCGAGACCTTCAAGAAGTCTTGCGAAGAGTCCCGCGCTGGTGACAACTCCGGTCTTCTCCTCCGTGGTATCAAGCGCGAGGACATCAGCCGTGGTATGGTCGTCTGCAAGCCTGGCACCGTCAAGGCCCACTCCAGCTTCCTCGTCTCCCTCTACGTCCTTTCCAAGGATGAGGGTGGCCGCCACACCGGTTTCCACGAGAACTACAAGCCCCAGATGTACCTCCGTACTGCCGACGAGTCCGTCACCCTCACCTTCCCCGAGGGTACCGAGGACGCCAAGAACAAGATGGTCATGCCCGGTGACAACGTCGAGATGGTTGCCCAGCTGCACCACCCCTCTGCCGTCGAGGTCGGCCAGCGCTTCAACGTCCGTGAGGGTGGCCGCACCGTCGCCACTGGTCTCATCACCCGTATCCTGAAATAAGGGACTCTCACCGCAAGATTTCTCAAAACTCGGTGAAATGGCACCCAGAACACAGCTTCCCCGACATGAAATGGGAACCCGGATGGTGAAAAAAAATGGGGATTGTACAAAAAAAGGAGTTGGATTGCTTTACGATTTCATGTACAACCGACCCAAAGTTTTCCGCTTTGAGCCCTCGAGCTCGTGTATATTGTCGGGTCTTGGGCTCAAAGATCTCCGCTCTACTTCACCCCCTGTCTTTGAATCATGTACTTTTAGAAGACGACGGACAATAGAACAAACTGTGCCTTGTGCCACATGATAATGCCTGACTAGATTAATGCAACACGTGTATGTTCGCTGACATGTCATCGTTACGTTTGGTAAACCTCGAGTCATCAATTACATCCCCAGAACTTGGAGGGCCATACTAGCTAGCTGCTTGGTATCCAGGCGTTGCGCGGTCTCACGAACTACAGATAGGTCGTGCCGTCTTCACGCGCAGCTTAACTCACACATTCTTGGCTTGATATTGAGTCTGTGTGTAATGCCCCAAACGTTTTGGATGGTGGTAAAAGGTTCAATGTCGTGGTATTCGTCTATCCTCAGTTGGACGTCCGACGGATTTTTGCACTTTCCGTTAAGCCAGCCATAAGAACTCCAATTGCCCTTGGAAGCCTTCCCTCTTGTCTGAATGCATTTTTCCACGGGCCACTCATGCCCAACCACCTTCACCAAGTTCCCATTCTTTGCCGTCTCGGAGTTTTGGACAATTTAACGGTACTGTAGAATCGCGGCCTCGGGTTAGCGGTTTGGGCCTTCTTAAAGCGATCATGGTTGTAGTGTGGGGGAGAGGGGTTCCAGGCCCGGGTTCGTTCGCAGGTTCCAAGGGGTGTTTGTGTGTGTTTTCGCATACCTTGTTGAAGCCGATGTCCTTGGCCTTCTCACGGAAGCACTGACGGCACAGGTTGAGGTCGTACTTGCGGATGAGACCGGCGGTGTGCTTGCAGACACGGCTATAAAAATTGAAAATGTCAGCATTTCTGCTTGTCTTCTCCTGTGTGCGCGCGCGCATCCCGACGTTTCCCAAATTGTTCCTCCATCCAGAATTTCGCGCTGGTTTGGGGAGGGGTATTATTCGTACCAAGAGCGGGAGCCCTTGCCGTAGTTGCGGGGGCGGGAGTTCCAGACAGACTCGTGAGACATGATGGCGGTTGTCGAGCGGATGGGCGGTGTCGTCGAGAGGGTGGTCGGCGAAAACTCGAGATGGTTTGGCTGTGGTTGGATTGAAGACGTCTGGCGGAAATTTTTGTGCGCCTGTATTTTGCTGGGGCTTGGGTCAGGGTGGGTTGGAGCCCCCTTCGCTTCTGGGGGAAGTCCGTGCTTTGGCAGTGCACGTGATGTAGATAAGATAGGTGATAAGCTTTTCTGATAAGATTTTACCCCCCCCCTGCTTTCTAGTGGGGCCCCTGCTGGGAACGCCGCTTGTTGGAGAAGGAACAAGGGACTGAGCTCTTGTGTGACGTTGGGGGACGACCCGCAAAGTGGCTTCTTTACCAATTCCTTCAACCACTGATTTCAAAGCATCGGTCTGCACCACCATTATTCCTAACTGCTGATATCTTTCCCAGCAGCTTGATATTCTTCTTCTGCGTCGAGATACCATATAGCCTTCTTTATTCCTCCTGGTCCGATTCGATCAAGCAACAATGGTCGTCCTCAAGAGCTTCGTGCTCGGCGCTCTGGCAGCTACCGTTGCCGCCAAGTCTGCCGTGCTTGACCTCATTCCCTCCAACTTTGACGACGTCGTCCTCAAGTCTGGCAAGCCCACTCTTGTCGAGTTCTTCGCTCCCTGGTGCGGCCACTGCAAGAACCTTGCTCCCATCTACGAGGAGCTCGCCACCGCTTTCGAGTCCTCCAAGGATGTCCAGATTGCCAAGGTGGACGCCGACGCCGAGAGAGACTTGGGCAAGAGATTCGGGATCCAGGGATTCCCTACTCTCAAGTGGTTCGACGGCAAGAGCGACCAGCCTACCGACTATAAGGGAGGTCGTGATCTTGAGGCCCTGAGCACCTTCATCACGGAGAAGACTAGTGCCAAGCCCAAGAAGAAGTACACCCCGCCCAGCGCCGTCAACATGCTCACCGATGAGTCCTTCAAGACCACCATTGGCGGAGACAAGGACGTTCTCATTGCCTTCACTGCTCCTTGGTGCGGACGTAAGTCTCAATTCTGCGATTCTCTTTGTTCTTGACCGACAATGCTGACCTGAACTCCTTCAACAGACTGCAAGACCCTCGCCCCCATCTGGGAGACTGTTGCCCAGGACTTTGTCCTCGACGAGGGTGTCGTGATCGCCAAGGTCGATGCCGAGGCTGAGAACAGCAAGGGCACTGCCGCCGCCCAGGGCGTTTCTTCTTACCCCACCATCAAGTTCTTCCCCAAGGGCTCCAAGGAGGGCGAGCTCTACACCGGTGGCCGCAGCGAGGACGACTTTGTCAACTTCATCAACGAGAAGGCCGGCACCAACCGCAGCCCCGGTGGCGCCCTCAACGCCATCGCCGGTACCATTGCTTCCCTCGACGAGATTGTCGCCAAGTACACTGGTGGCACCAGCATCTCCGACGCTGCCGCCGAGGCCAAGAAGCAGGCCGAGACCCTCAAGGAGAAGGCCCAGTACAAGTACGCCGAGTACTACGTCCGCGTCTTCGACAAGCTCAGCAAGAGCGACGGCTACGCCCAGAAGGAGCTTCAGCGCCTCGACGGCATCCTGTCCAAGGGTGGCCTGGCCCCTGCCAAGCGTGACGAGATCACCAGCAAGACCAACATTCTCCGCAAGTTCATTGAGAAGGTCACCGGTGAGAAGGAGGAGTTGTAGTGAACTCTGTCAGCAAGTTTTCAGACGCATCTTGAAGTATGGGTTTGGGAAGGTTCTAGGAGGTTGAAAAGCAAGCAACATGCAAGTGAGTGTGTTTAGCTCCAGTTGGGATTGGTAGTCTAGGATACCGACGATGATGAATAACAATAACAAGTATAACTCAAGTCTGCTCCATGGAACCCGACCATCATAATCAGCTCCTGTGAGATTATCCTATGAACCCTAACGCCATCGGCATGCAAACCACCTGCCTCGTGAAATATGTCGTCAAGACTTGAATCAAGATGACTTGGACGGGCCGGCGTCCTTCTCCTTGTTAGCTAGAAGAGCCGCTTCAAGGTTGTCCAGGCGGCGAGACATTTCGTCCACTGTATAGCTTTAGTATGTTGTAGAGAGACATGAAGTCATTCCCCTCGGGACTTTCTAGACTTACTCTTTGCAAAAATCTCACTTGAGACACCCGCGAACTTGTTAGAGATTGTGTTCAGGAGTTCTTCGACGGCTGCGTTGACGTCGGTCTTGGGATCCTCCGAGACCTGTGACATTCTAAAAGTTAGTTTCCAGAGCGGAGACTGAAGCCCAATGACGTCGTTTGCGGCCTCGGGTGCACCAAAGGCTAGGCGATGTTTCCACTTGCAAAGCCTGAGGTGAAGTGACTAACCGCAGACTGGTTTGCGCTCGAGTCGGGGTTGTTGGAGGCCATTGTTTTATAGGCGAGAGAGCCTTTCAATCGGCAAAGGTAGAGCACGTGTGTGAAAACTCCAACGTTGTTGTCTTAACCGACCTGGTTGTGTTTGAGATACCGTCGGCGGGGTTGTGAGTCTTGATGTCGCCTGGCTGTGGGAGTTACGAGAGATGAAGCGGTCCAGGTTTGGCGGGGTTCAATGTGTTTGCGCTGTTGGTTCCAGTAAACATGCAATGTGGAGGGGCCAAAATGCGCACGCGGAGGCCAGCTCTGGAAGGTGTCTGCTGGTTTGCAGCGCTAGCACCAGGGGACGGGTACCTGTGGGGCCTACCTAAGGCGATAAGACGACTGGAGCGTCCCCCGGGCTCCGGTATCCGTCGCGCCGCCAAACGGTCCGCTTTCAGCAACTTGGCTGATGCCGTCATCCGTCTTCAAAGTTACTTTCGGCCTACAGTGTTCAGTTCATCCGTACATCGTCACCCTCCCCAATCGCTACACCAGAAGCATTCTTTACGTCTTCCTTTCCGGCCAACGAAGCTTCCTGCAACAACCGACAACCCGCCGGCCAGAGCAGCAGAGCGATGGCCCCGAGTTAAGCGGCCCAAGGCACGCCGCACACCATGCCCAGTCCGTACCGAGACCCGCGCCTCGTCTTCCTCGCCCTCGCCTTCGTCGGCGTCTTCTGGATTCTCCTCTCCCCCGACAATGGCGGCGCATCTCTATTCTCCGCCTCGGACCTAGCGATTCAGCGCCTACGGCGGCACCAGCACGCTCTCGACCTCCTAAACACCTCGACTTACGGCGACTTCACACGGCGCGAGAATGGCACGTCCGAAGGCCTGCTGCCTAGGTCGCTCAACCTGACGGGCTTCCGTCCCGAAGACGGGTTCGCCTGGGACGATCTCGAGCGCTTTCAGGAACGCTGCTTGGAATGGAGCCATAACGCGATACCGCCCGTCGGCGGAGTGAATCTGTGGGACATTGGAGAAGGAGAGCCCGTGTGGCAGAACGCCACGGGCGCGGTCAAGGGGACCTGGACTCGAAGGGAAGCGACGTCGAGGAGGGAGTGGACGAACTATAACCTGAGCGCCATCACGCCGAGCCTGCATTGGAGCGGCGCGCAGTCGGAGTGGGCCAGGAACATCACGGGAGACGAGGGCAAGATCTTGATGGACCTCGTCGACACCGGTAAGCACGGGAGGGAGCTGGACTACCGCAGCGACGTCGAGGACGACGAGGGCCCCTCGTCCGGCGGCAAGGTGCGTAGCGCAAAGGCCTCCATCACTATTGAGGATGTCAAGGGCAGCGGCGTCAACTGGGAAATGAGGCTGCACGGCGTCCAGTGGCCTCGTCAAGGGACCATTCTCTTGACGACGACCAGCGAGAAGTTTGACGGCATTTTCGGTCTACCGCATTTGGCGCCCAGCTTAGACTTCTTCCAGTCGAGCCAGCGGCTGCTTAACCTGACTCTCGCGGAAGTGCTGCGTAGGAAGGAGAAGGAAGTGTTCAACGATGGCGTGATGCCGTGGACTTCGGATCTCTCGAATCCACCGGATACGCTCAATCCAACGCCACATTGCGAATATATCATGTACGCCCAAGTACATCCACCGGACAGAAACTTTCTAGACATGAAGGGCTTTCGTCCGACGAGGGAGGGCATGGCAAGGATCATCAGCGACATTGAGCAAGAATTACGATTCCCAGAGGGCGCACCCATTCGCGGCGTTCCAGAGCTCCAGCTCTCAGCCGTTATTTGGTCACCCGACTGCGCATTCTTTCTAGAAACCAAGGGACCGCCGGATTTCGCGCCCGTCGATGGGCAACATCTCCAAGGCATGAAGACGGAGATTATTTACCACAAGATTCGGGTATGGATCCTCCTCTTCGCGATGGTGATCCTCACGCAGGCCCTTCTTCTCAAGCAACAGATGAAGGAATCAGCTACACCTTCGACGATGGGTCGTATCAGCTACTCTACCATTAGTATGATGGTCATGGTGGACGGTGGCATCTTCGCCGCGGCGTCCATGTGGGCTTTGGATGCCAGCATCACGTACTTAGAGTCGCTTTCGCTTTTGTTTTCGGCGTTTCTATCCATGTCCCTTGGCGGCTTCTTTTTGGCGGAAATCCACAAAGTGCAGGAGCCTGAGAACAGGAGGCGTGCCGAGAGGGAGCAGCAAAACGCAAACAATGACTCGCCGCGCACACCGGCCACGCCCGCGCAAGGTCTCGAAGCGGACTCCCTGCCGCGGCCCGTCACCGCGGGGCCTCGCAGGAGAGCACCCTCGCCTCCGATCATCATCCCCTTGGATCAGGATATCGACGCGGAAATTGCCGACGCCGCGAGCGGTGCGGCAGCCGTGCCGACAGCGGGCACCGGCGGCGGCCATCGTATCGGGCCCGAGGTCACGTTCCAATCGGTCATATTCCGCTTCGCCATGACCGTATCCCTCATCCTCCTCGTCTCCATCGCCTCCACATCCTGGTACCCGCGCGTGCGCAACTTCTTCGTCAATAGCGTGGCCCTCGTCTACTTTTCCTTCTGGGTGCCCCAGATCCACCGCAACATCCTACGCAACTGCCGCCGCGCGCTGACGTGGCAATTTGTCATCGGCCAGTCCGTCCTGCGGCTGCTCCCCTTTGCCTATTTCTACATCTACGAGAACAACTTCCTCTTCGCCGAGACGGACCGGCGCGCGTTCCTCGTCTTTTGCGCGTGGCTGTGGATCCAGCTCTGGATCCTCGCCTTCCAGTACGTGCTCGGCCCGCGGTTCGGTATACCCAAAAGCTGGACGCCCGACGCGTGGGATTACCACCCGATCCTGCGCGAGGACGGCATCGAGGCCGGTGGGCTGCCGATCGGTCTGCTCTCGGAGCCCGGGTCGCCGTCTCTTGAGAGGGTGAGGTCCGGGTCGGGCGGCGGCGAGGACGTCAGGGATAAGAAGAGTGGCGGCGGGAGTAACCTGCGCGCCATTGACTGCGCCATTTGTCGTGAGGTGCTCGAGGTGCCCGTCATGCGGGCGGGCGAGGAGGACCCGACGGCCGGAGGGGTCGTTGGCGTGTTTACGAGGAGGAATTATATGGTCACGCCGTGCCGGCACATCTTCCACAGCGCGTGTTTGGAGGGTTGGATGCGGTTCAGGTTGCAGTGTCCTATTTGTCGAGAGGAGTTGCCTCCCCTGTAAGGAGTAGCGAAAGGGCGAGTCGTGTGCTCTGTTATTTGTTTGGAGCGCGTGTCATAGCGGAAAGATATTGATCATGTGTTTACTAGAAATGATATCAGAATGAGAATCGGTTAGGTTATATACAGTTGACCTTTGAGCTGCTGTTTGTCTCTCTTGCGGGCCATCGTGTCGTTTCAATATCTGCCCTAGTGAATGCTACCATGGCTGCGCTTCTTTGTCTTATCCATGATGTGACATCGACCGTTTGATGTAGACAGTATCAATCCTGATCACGTCAGTGATAAGTGATAAACATAATCACTCGGTGGCTGGGAGTGATCATTACGGAAGATGGGCGTCTACCATCCTCTCCGAGCTTGAACCGGCTTTTGCTTAAGAAACGAACGGTTTCCGAGAACAGAGGTTGAGACCTCGCGAGGTCTATTAAGAGAAATTAAAAATATTATGTTATTGTATTCCCTACCGTTATAGCAGCTTACGGACCTATGCCCCTAGGGTATTTCAAGTTAAAATCTATACGAGATCATCTAGGTAGAATAAAAAAGGGAAAGAAAGAGAAGGATCGAGACGGCTACTTTATTCTAGTATACCGTATTAAGTCGCCATGTATTATTCGACAGCCTTCTACACGTATTAGAGGTTTGGCGTTAATGAAGAAAGGGGCCGCGCTATACACCTTTCAATCCAATGGTATACTTTCTCGTCCACCTTTGATTAAACATTACAGCTTGATGGGTCATAAAGAAAGATTGCGCGTCACGTGGGTTGCGAATTAGATGGTCAGAATGATTACCTAGTAGTACCAAGGCAGTCACTACTCATTGAGGGCAGGCTGTGAACCTGGATGATGGGGAGGAGGGTGGATCATAAATACTGGTATCTGGATTTCTTCGCTGGAGAAGGTGTGGATTATTAAGTAGTAGGTGCTTTGAGTTGCATGATACTCAGACAGGTATACAATATGGAGTATAGGGTCCTCAAAAGTGATAGGGGGCTTATGCGGAGATTTCTAGTAACCTCACTCTGATGTAAGTCCCTATATGACGAGATTGGGTTAGCTTGCACATTGACAGGTAAATCCTCACCGTCTAGTTTTTCCCTTGTCTCTCTGACCTCATCTTTGTAGTCACTGCGAGGAGTGGCTGGCCATACAACTACGGAAATTAAATGAGGGCTATGACGGAAGACTCCACGACGCAGGATATCCAAAGAGGAGCCCTGGGGGAGAGGCTGCGGGTCGAATGCCACCACACACTGGCCCGATAGACCGTCCCGTACGGATACACCACGCGGAAAAGAGCTATCACTAAAGGAAATACACACTAATCCCCAAGGCGTTTTCCTCAAAACACAATTCGCAGTTTAACCCCTTTGACACAGCATGGAAAGCCGAGCAGACCACAAGATCTCCCGGGGGGCCGGAGAAGGGGGGAAACACCCGCCGCGCATCCGCTCCGCGCCGCCGCCTCTGCATAATGTTTGTCCCATTGATCAAAGGTACCTTACCTACATCGGGTCAGTCAAACAGTCAAATCAACCCCCACCCCCCCCCCCGCGGGCCAAGTGTGAGAGAGACAGGACCAACTGGTTGTCTCATCCAGCGGTCCAATGACTATGGGTAGATGACCCAGCTCCCAGTCGCCCCTTTCCATTTCCCTGGGGCGCAAACTGCATTGTTTCGAAAAGGGCGGCTGGTCCAAGGCGCAGAATAGCTGCAGCCAAGCTCGCTGGCGTGCCCATTCAGGAGGGGTTCCATTCCATTCAGGCCAGCGGAACAATTCGAGCGCATCCATACCGTTATCGTAGCGTAGGAGAATAGGAGGAATCAACAGCTGGATCCAGCTCGGGCTTGCCTCAATTCGAATATCCCCGAGAGGCACCCCTGGGAGATAAACTTGGCATCATGGTATTGATAGTCATGACCAAGCGAATCTTCTCGTGGTCGAATGCAAGTATCAACCCTCAGCGATGCTCAAAAGGGGCGACGGGTATATGTCTTCCAAGGAGCAGAAAAAGGCGACAAGGTGCGCATCCCTGCCCCGGGTCTGCGGTCATGCGGCACAGCAACGTCCCTAACCCATCTGTCCTATCCCACTTCGATAGCATCAGTCTTCCATCAAACCCACGATGTCAGCACAATCTCAGTTACGCAAAAGAAAAGGAATAGTGTCGATCGTGCTGTTGAACCTGGCCGTCGGGAACTCACCAAATCGGACCAGAGACTCGTTCTAGATGTTACAGGTGACGCGAACCTCTTGTACGTGCAAACAGCAAAGGAAAGCTCGTTTAGCGATCAATGGGTGAGCGCCATAAGTGTAAGAGCGTTTAATCCATCGGGCCTGGAGCATCAGGAAAAGGCTATCTTTCATGTTGTGTCGTGTGAGGGAAGCGGTACGAGGGCGGCCGGACGCCAGCGGCCGAGAGAGCCGGTGTGACAAGTGTAGTCATCACGGGCCCTTCGAAGGCGACACCAGTGACACCGTGACCGATGTGGAGACCAGTAAGTCTAGTTCCCATACCCGGAAGCCTGGGACGTATCTCGCGTGAGTCCGAGAAGCAAATGACGCAGCGGAAACGGCGTGCCGAGGCCTGGAGTCTCTTGAGCCAGGGGAGGGGAGTTCCATAATCGACCGATCCTCAACTAGTCTTCCCAAGGATATTGATTTTGTCTTCAGGACAGCCCCATAAGGCGGAGGGAGGCAAGGGAGTAGGCGGTGCTGGTAGTGACCGATGTTCAGACAATCCGACGTTTCTGACACTCTACTTGTGATGTACTGATACGGATACCCGTATGTGGTCAGCTTGGACCAGTGGATGCAGGCGATCAACCGCGTGGGGTACTCCACGATGGACACGCCTATCAGTCAAAGTGTCTCGGAGTACCCAGGAACTTGGGTATCGTGCCGTCGTATGAAATCATAGCCAACGTACCGAAGGTTAGGAAAAGGCCCGAGGGAGGTTTGGATGGCCGGCTCAGTGGTCAGTGGAATCAAGCTTGTGCGCACCAGCGTGGCAGACCCTGGTGGCCATAAGCACAGCCTGCCATCGAGTGGAACTTTTGAGGTCCATGATGGAATCCGTACCAGCGATGCTCTCGCTTCCTTTCTGACATGCAGCTTTGGCTGCATTGGCCTGTCGTGTGGGATTGGTCCAACGGCCCCCCAAATTTCGCGGTGAAGGCAGGTCGGACAAGGCATCTCGCGAGGCGTTATGCTATGGCGCTTGAACCCCCTCTGTCACCGGAGCTCGCGATGGAGGATTGGTACCTTACAGGTTTGAATGGAGCATCAAGAGGCCGCGGGTCGTTGTGCACAAGGCCACGATGCACGGGCTGAGGAATGGGGGTCCCATACCGAGACGTCCCTACCCCGCGATCATGGGTTATCGCCAGCGGACATGTCCGAGAGACATTGATGCTTGGTGACGTGCAGAGATGGAGCCTCCAAAGTCTACGACGGGAAACACTTCCCAATCGATATGGCTGAAACTATCGTAGGGAGGTTCTGCAATGTCCCTGCGTCGAGCTGGCTATCGCAGATTCCAATCGCAAGATATCGTCACATCAGCCGCTCTCCTGGGTTCTTGGCACACAGCGCCTTTCATTCGTAGTCGATTTGGAATAGCACAAAGAAATCCAAATCACTGCCGAGGTCCACTAACTGACTGCCCCTCGGAGCCATGAGAGAGTCTCACTCCGGAACACCACCGGTTCGCAGAGGTCTCAGTTTCGATGTCGAGGGCTTTGGGTCGAGCCACATCTCCGGAACCGGTAGCACGTCCGTGAGATTCGGGTCCGTGGTAGCAGTTGACACCTCCGCGTCCCGCCCTATGCCACAGGAAAAGGCAAAAGCTTCCGGAGAGGCGCCGCCGTGCGTACGAGGAACACGGAACACCAATCGGTTGTTCCTCTTAGAGGAAGGGAGAGGATTAGACGGAACCTCGCGTCTCAGACTCTAGAGACCTGAGTGCATTGGGTGGCTGATGTCTGTCGAAGTTGGTGATTGCCCCGCGGAAGCGAGAGTCTGGGAACCGGCGTGGAGTAGGCGGCGGCCTCTGATTAGTCCATGATCGTATTGACGCGGTAGGTGATCATAGATGGTAGGGCTGAAGAAGACGCAAAGAAGGTGCGTAGATGCAGCGAACGTCATCGTGGGAAGACATTGGTGCAGTCAATCATGGGTCGGTGTGGCTTCTTTCTGCAGTATCTCAAGAAGCAGAGCGTGACTTTTGATGGGCGATGGCTGAGCAGCGGCGCTAAGGCAGGCGATATGTAGGCACTCTTGAGGCAGATTCCCAAGACGCAATTCGATACATGGGAGCTCCCGGCTCAAGAGGAGGCCGCCCTGATCAAGCCCTTGGGTCAGTAATGTCAGGGAAGGCCAGTGGAGGATTTCCTGACCACCCAGGACCATGCTTCGAGCTCTCTGGCGCATAGGGCTGAGATGGAGGGTCAAGGACTGGGTGAGATTTGTCTCGTCTTTCGAAATGTCATGGTCCCCATGGTCCCTTGTTCCCCCCCTCCTCTGCTGCTGGCAACGACTGTCGACGAATGCATCCAAGCCCCTCAGCCAGCGGAAGCGGGCCGGTAGGATGGCCATTGCATGTGGCGCAGCTGACATGGCCGAAGCGGTGAATCAAGCCGAGACATTTGGAGGTTGGGCGTGTTGGGCGTGTTGGGCGTGGTAGGCTTTTGTTTGCCAGACAAGACACAGACCGTGTCTGTCCAGAAACTCAGCGAGAGATGAATGGATTGGGCAAAGTTGTGAGGTGTGGGAAGTTGTCAGGTTTCTAGTGTAATTGTGTGTGTGTTTCGATCCGTAGTGTACAGTGAGGTGTCAAAAGTGTTAATAGAGTGAGTGCACAGTACCCGCCAAACCCAGTGGTTTTCAACACTACTTAGAAAAAGCAACTTAACTTAAAAATTAAAAATAAAAACGAGAAGATATTATTTTACTATATAAGAATAATATATAAAAGTTGCACGTTATCTATGATTAAATTCGTGGAGTTATTAAAACTTTTTTATTTTAAATACGTTTCCAAAAATATTATTTTAATGAACTATAGCGCTTAAAGTGTGCAACATATACTATATTTTCTGGTGGATTTTTTTTTAAAAAAAAGTCTCTATTACTTATTCTTTATTTACGTACTTATATAATGTATTAAAATTATATAAAATTTATTCTATATACTTTTATATAGTTAATTATTTTAGAGATTTTTTTAGGTTATACTATTACCTAGATACTTGAGATATAACTACTTTCATATAACTAGAGTTAGTGGGCTCAAGGTGACGTACTGGGGGGTGTATTAAGACTTTTGACATCCCACTGTAAGACCAGTGCTGGGGAATGGAAGGTACCGAAACGTTTCGATACTTTGGTCTGAACATCTGGTCAGTGCTTGGGTACAACCAGGGGTACTTCTGTACGTACTCCATATCCAAGGAGGTATCTTTAATCCGCACCTTACACCAATAACTCCGGAGAGATGTTGATGATTGCTATAGATCACCAAAGGGCAGCAGCGTACATGCTTAGGGGACCGACAGCCCTTCCCGCGAGACAAGACGCTGCTCCTGCCATGCTCGCCTGGCAGTGACACAACGCCGTCGAGACGGGCCGCGTCCGTCCGGTCATCATGCCGGCTCATGCTCTCTAGGTTGTTCCCGCAACTTTCAACTGACAAATGCTTCGGGCTCCTGCTTCTGCGCCTGCTCGACTGGTGCTGCTGCCCGTTGGCGATACGAGGAATGGCGACGGACAAATGCAGCTAGCAGCGCGCTCTTGCATGCCAAGAGAGACCGCCTGCTCATCCCGTGATTGCATTGTCTTGTCTCTCTTATCCTCATATCTTGTCTCGAGAGCGGGTGATTCTCATTCCGGCCCGTGACAGTCCGGGGTGTTACAGACGGGAGCAATTTGTACCTCAGAACATCAGGGCTCAGCACACATGAGTGATGATGCAAAGTGCTGAATCGCCAACGATGCCAATGCTTTACCCACGCTCCCCTCCCCCCAAGAGATAAGCCAAAGACTTAACCTGGCATCGCAATAGCATCGTTCAATGGCGAGCCCAGCTACAACATGCCTCATTGGGAAACATGCCCGCCTCGTATGCTGCCCATGCCTTGCTCACGCATCTACGAGGTACGGGCGACGTTGCATCGCCGTCTTGACCTTCGTTTTTGAGAAGTTCCAAGTCAGATAAACCCAGAAGCGTTCGTCTTGGCTCTTGTGCGTATACGATGATGGAATAGTGAGGAAGGATGAATCAATGCCATGATTACGATTTAGTACAAGTATAAAGAGCAGAGTATTAAAAGAAATTGTAGATATTGATGTTAATTGCCTGCATCGCCAGTGAACAATGTCCTTCATCAGCGCCACCGCAGTCCTCCTGACGCTCGGCCTCCGGGCCCTAGCCGCTCCCGCACCGGCCTCCATCACCCCGGACGGCATCATCCCGGGCGAATACATCGTGTCCCTAAAACCGGGCCTCGCCCGGTCCCAAGTCGAATCCCACCTCTCCCGCGCCGCCTCCGTGCACAGCCGCAGTCCAAGCCGGCGCGACACAACAGGCATCGACAAGACCTTTTCCATCGGCGCCTTCAACGCCTACGCGGGCTCCTTTGACGAGGCCACCATCGCAGAGATCCTCAGCGGCGACGTCGACGGCGCCGTGCTCTCGGTCGAGCCCAACCGCCTCGTGGAGATTGACGCCCTCGTCACGCAAGATGCCGCGCCGTGGGGTCTAGCTGGTCTCTCGTCGCTTAATCAACTGACTGGTTCGTCTGATGGTCAACCTTATACCTACGACGATTCTGCTGGTGAGGGCTCCTTTGCGTATATCCTCGACACGGGCGTGCAGGTCTACCACCCCGATTTCGCGGGCCACGCTGTCAAGGGATACAGTTCACAGCCCGACGAGGAGTTTGACGACTTTGGCGGGCACGGCACGCACGTTGCTGGTACGGTTGGGTCTCAGACGTATGGGGTCGCGAAGAAGGCAACGGTTGTGGATGTCAAGGTCCTTGCTGGTTTTGTAAGTGGCATCCTCTCCCTTCCCTCGACATTTGAAGAAAAGGAGAATGCAATGGCTTTCAACATGTGGCTTCCTGATCAACAGTTGATCAACACTACCTTACCCGAAGAGTCTAGATAGTCTAACCTTCGAGCACAGGGCACTGGCAGTGTCGCAACGGTCCTCGACGGCTACAATTGGGCCGTCAACAACATCACAGACACCCCCGGTCGCCTCGCCAAGTCCGTCATCAGCATGAGTCTCGGTAAGAACCCCCCAAATCCAGTTGCCGGCCGATATTGGGTATTGCGCCCGCCGAAAGAGAACAAAAACCACAGGACCCCTGGACTAACACACAACCTCCCCCGGTTTGCTTCTGCAGGGTTCCCAGTAAGCACAACAGCCTCCGCCCTCGACGAGGCGGTCAACGCAGCCTACGACCTGGGTGTCCCGACCGTCGTATCGGCCGGCAATTTGAACCAGGACGCCAGCCGGCGCTCGCCCGCGCGGGCGGAGCGCGCCTTCACGGTCGCGGCCGCGGACTGGAACCGGACCCGGGCGTCCTTTTCCAACTTTGGCAGCCTGGTCGAGGTGTTTGCGCCGGGCGTCGCAGTGCGCTCGCTCGGGCTCGACAACGGCACGACGGTGTACTCAGGTACCTCGCAGGCTGTCCCGCACGTCACGGGCCTGATTGCGTACCTGAGGGGCAAAGAGGAGGGTTTGGCTATCCCGGATGAGGTGTTTGCGAGGGTGAAGGAGCTTGCTGTCGAGGGTGTCATTCGGGATCCTCAGGGTACTGCGAATTTGCTTGCTTTCAACGGTGCTGTTTCCTCCTAGGGTCCGGGGCGTGTAAGTGCGTCTTTGTTGACTCGCGGGGGTAAAGGGGAAAGAGGCGCAGGCGTGGAGGTATTTGCCAATGTTGGGTCCCGTCGTCTTGCTTGATACAGACACATGCATTACTTACATGAGAGGCACATGAAAGTAGCAGCAATCATCCATCTTGGGTGAAGGCTCTCCGAGACTGCATCACTTGGGTCTGGTAGTCTGGTCCCCTCCCCGTCTTGTGTCTGTTTCGGAGCAGTTCTCAACCTGGAAATTGTGTTTTGTTTGCTTGGATTGGCGGTACATGAGGGTTCGTACTCCCTCAAGGCTCGAATACTTTGAGAAACTCGTCGGCCTCTCTTCCCCGTGATTCTAAACGGACGGGACTGACTGAGACGCAATGTTATTGGTACCACCCTGTACAATTGCACTTATCTGCCGGTCAATTGCTTCCATAATACATGGTATTTTTAAGAGCCCGCTTGGTAAGCTCGCCGGTCCGGGACAAAGGTGTAGTCGCTGATGCCGAAACGGCAACCCCCAGAGGTCCCAATACCTCTTCCAAGCGGAGCCGCCGTTTCTATTGGCAGCGGCGGGCGCCGTCAACACACCAACCGCTTTCGATGCTGGGCCTGGGGAAGGGAAACGGCATGGTGACTGCATCGAGGCGTGGGCCGGCTAGTGTAGTCTGTAGAGCAATGAAAAGAGGACTGCGGCGGCCCTTCAAGCTACACCACCAAGGTAAGGTAGCCATCCAATGGTCCAGGGCGAAAGGGGTGTCTTGTCCAACAAATCTACAGGTGAGCACGTGTCGCCGCGGGGAACCACGATCTCTCCTTGCTCCACTTACCGTTCTCTCTCGTGCTCATGGATCCTGGTGGTGGACTCGTGGTTCACTGGTGGGTGACTGGTCCAGTGGATGAGAGCAAATCTGCGAATTGGCGATGGCGATGATGACCTGCCTGTTCGCCTGCAGGGCTTAGCCGCCCACCACCAAGACCAACAGAAGCGAAACAAACAGCACAGCCACAAAGAAACAACAACTTTGTATCTGTAATGCAGGTGGACTAACACGTCGTTGGTGTCATCATCCAAGGGGTATAGAAGCATGGTGGAAGGCTTCGCCGAGACTAAACATGTGCGGGAGGGATATCCGTATGGTAGTGATGATAATAAACCCCGTCGGAGTTGAGGTGGTTGGGATGGGAATGAATAACGAGAGGAAGGACGTGGAGGTTACGTCCAACATCCGAGAGAGGTCGGAAGAGGGAAGGAGTGGGGATGAGTGGGGATGAGAAGATGGAGATCTGGAGAGAAAGAGGTTATTGGAGGTGTGCAATGAACGGACGTCGACAGGCGTACCCGGGCATGTTGAGGTGACTTGCCAATATTGTCCACTTTGACTTTGACTCTTTCACTTCTTCCTGCATTTCGAACGAGTATCACTCAAGAGCAACTGCCGAATCCCCTCCTTCTACTCCGTACTCCGCATCAGTCCATCGAATAGCCATCTTTGTTTTTTTCCCGTCTCCCCAACCGTTTCGTTTCGCTGAAAGGGCTCAAAAGTCAAGACTCTTGAGATCAGTGTAAGGTACCTCGAACGGTTCTTCAGACCGTCGCACACAAAGCAGCAGGGTACAAGGGCGAGAGCGGAAAGACCCAGTTACCAATTGGGGCAAGTTCCTCGACGAGCCGACGACTAACACGACCGGGCCAGGTACTCGACCCCTGTCTCGCATGTACTTCGCCGACGCCATCAAGTACCTCGGTACGTACTCCGAACACCCAGCAGTTATTCTTCTCATCTCTTTGATCTGAAGGAGACCGCACAACGGGCCAGCAAGTATGGACGAGGGAAAGGCAAGGTCCTTCGTGTTGCACCGAGGACGTAGGTAGGTATTCCTAATTTCATACCGTGTACGGAGTACGACAGCCAACAAGGGCCATGCTTGTGAGACGTCGAGTTCTGTTCCTTATGCACGTCTCTTGTCCAGCAAAACAGAATTCCTGCGCTGTCAGTCAGATATCCTTGCCGGGTACCCAAGCATACAAAGTAGATGGACAACATCTGGTGCTTGCTGCCCCGGACAGTGAATGCCCTGCCCTCTCTTCTGCTCAACTACTTCACCTTACATATGAAGTATGGAAAGCAGATATTCATAAACATCTGATTCATCACGACGAGCCTTACTGACTCTGGTTCGAAATACCGAGCGGTACAAGCTCAAGGTATCGTACACAGCAACAGGTGCGGCGACCCAGACGCCTTGTCTCGCCTGCCCTGGAGGGGTTCAAATGTTTCTTGTACAATGTTTGCTTCGTGCTGGTATTCGTACTCCCCCTTGTCTCTTTCTCTCTGTCTGTCTCGCTCTCCCACTTACCTGACAGAGTACTTTGTCCAATACTTCGTTCGGATACACACAACTGAGGGGTCTTCTTCTGCTTCTTCTTCTTCTCCTTCTTCTTCTTCTTCTTCTTCTCCGTTTTCTTCTTCTTCTTCTTCTTCTTCCTCCACTCTCTCTCACCTCTCTCTCCTCCACCCCACCATCTGCGGATAACTTTTCTTTTCCCTTCCTCAGCTAGAGCCAGGGACTAGCCAACTCCGATCCCCCACTCCCAACCCCGTTAACCCAACCTCATTCGCTCATCTCTCGCCTACTTCTCCCCCCAGTCCAAAGCCCAGAGCCCAGAGTTCTCCTCGTCCTCCCTTCTTCTTCTGCTCTTGGCCAAGCCTGGATTTTGGTCGTTTCCGTTGTTCTGGTCTCGACTGATTGTTCTTCAACCGAGTGATCACTGACCATCTCTTCTGACCGTCCTGCTGGCTTTCGATATCCACCCCTGCTTCTTTTGGGTATGCCCGTCATCAGACTTCAAGCCTGACATCTTTGGATACGGATACATCGGTATTACTTCGACACCAATGACCTACACCATCACCACCATCACAGCATCGCCAGATTCTCACCTATTACCGTTGCCTCGCCCTCACCAACCTGGAATCTGATAACTGTCCCCACGTCAGCACTCCCTCCCTACCTCCGCTACATGCCAAATCGACGTCGGAGGTCCTGCATGCAGTGCAGCACAGCGCAGCAACATATCCCTCCGCCAGTACCTACCTATAAACCGTCAGCGTCTCCCCTCCGCCCCTCACCACGGCACGACACGACACCACCATCGAACAAGATCCCGGTCCGGGTCTGCGTCTGCTGTTCGTCGCAAGCCACCTCTAGCTTCACAGGCCTCCACATCGCGACTTGTCTCATTGCTTGGCTTTTTCTCTTCCTCTCTTTCTTGTCTATCCCTCCTGGCCCCCTCCAGGTCCCCCCTCCCACCGTGGATCTCGGCCTCCCCTACTCGGATCCCCCTCTCCCCTGGTCCCTGTGGTCCAAGCTACTGATCTGTTGACCCATTCACATCCAGTGGCTTGTAGCGTCACAACACTAGCTACGGATGCCCAGGTCCGCGCCCACACGCCATCTGCCAGCCCTATATTACTCTATCCTCCGTCGCCCGTAACTCGCGGCCCCCAAACCCCTTCCCGCTGTGAAAGGCTGAAGCTGCCCAAACACCCTGTCATTGCGCATCTGATCAGCAAGCCGAGAAAGCAAACTATTATATATCACCCCTAGTCGAGACACAACTACTCGTCATTGCCCTTCTTTGCTTTTGATCGACATTCAAGGAGAGGTCTAAGCAACAACCGTTGTGGCTCTCCTCCTGAATCTTCTCACCTTATCTTTGCTTCTCCCACCTCACCCTCCTCTACCTACTTTTACAAAGTACTGCGGCCTGCCCCCCCTTCGACCTGGACTCTTTTCTTCTTGGCGCCTTTTACAAACACCTTAGTCATGTAAGTGCGAGAGCCTAGAGCTCGAACCGAGGGATAGACCCCGTCCCTCAGCAGATCGCCCCTCTGCAGATCGCCCCTCAGCCGGACCTGTTCCCCGTCCTGGTCGATTCTATACTAGGCTTACCCTGTCTAACCGCCGAGTTCACAGACCACCCGTCATCGCGCCGACCCTTAGCTTGCCTTAGTTACCATCTCCGCGCCCCGGTCCCCCCTCTACCCTAAAGAGCTCCGAATCCCCTGCATTCCGGCCAGACCTTTTTTTTTTTTTTTTTTTTTTGGTAGTGGTTCAGCTTCTCAACTTCGTCGTCGTCAGCAACACTTTTGTTGGGATCTAGGGGCAGACATCTCGTACGCGACAAAGAGTGCAAGGCGATGAATGCATATGCGACATCTCTTCGGCCTTAGAATTCACCTCAACTCTACACAGCGACGATGTCGTCCTACAACGGCGCCGATGCGAATTCGGTCACATCGACCAGTCCCGCCTCCGAGGACTCCCAAGCGAAGCCCAAGAGGGCCAGAACCAGTAAACCGAAAGTCAAGACAGGATGCAATAACTGCAAGTACGTGACGCACTCTGCTGCACCCGTGTTCGTGGGCCAGAGTCTAACATGCTCATTATAGACAACGGCGCATCAAGTGCGACGAAAAACGACCCTCCTGCTCGCAGTGTGTACGCTCCAAGAAGATTTGCACCGGATATCCTCCTCCCAGCCGCAGCGCTAGACCTCACGAGGTTCTCGCCATTGCCCCAAAGCCTCTCCTGGCCGCCGCTCCAGCCAACGCTGCTCCCGCGCGAGCCATCGGCTTACCTCCCAGGAGAGTTCAGAAGTATCAGCGCCGATTGACTCCCCCACAAACTCCCAATGACGGTCCGTCGGCCATTACCATGTACCGCCCGGCGGGCAACCTACAACTCTCACCTCAAGAAGGTCTATATTTCCAGTTGTTCCGCACTCACACAGCAAACGAATTATCTGGTTATTTCGATTCCGTCTTTTGGACGCAGACAGTCTTGCAGGAATGCCACGCCGAGAACGCCATCCGTCACGCTGTGGTCGCTCTTGGGGCTCTGTACAAGACCCTGGAACAGTCCTGCGAGTCCCCGCCAGGCTCGCCATCCGATGTCATGAACCCCATGGATGGCGCATATCGACATTGGGAAGTGGCAATTAAGCAGTACTCAGAGGCCATCAACGCACTCGTCCAGCTCCACCGTGACCAGAAATCGCATCGAACTCTGCTCATGGCAAGTGTGCTGTTGGCTTGCTTCGACTCGTTCGTCGGGGACCATCGCCAAGCAATTCGACAAATCCAGACCGGCCTCAGCTTACTGGAGAAGCTGCGGGCCGAGCGAAGGAAGTCATTCGTCCCTCTCTCCGAGGAGCCTGTTGAGGAAGAACTGGTCAAAATGTTCACAAGGCTGGCCATCCAAGCCAAGTCATACGACATGGCATTCCACTTCCCCGAGCCTTACGTGATTCGGCTTACGCCCCAAACTCCCGAGCTCCCCCAGTCTCCCCCTTCGGACGCCGGCAGCTCACCGTCATCCATGAGCTCATCCTCGATGCCGGAACAGTTCTTCAGCCTGATGGAGGCACGCATCGCTTGGGACAAGCTCCTCGAGAAGATGCTTCGCTTTACCGAAACCTTGTTCACGTATCAAAAATCAACAGGCGCGAACGGTCCTATGGGTATTCTGCCCAAGTCGTTGAAACAGTATGGAATGAGCTTCAAAGGGCAACTAGACGGTTGGTCTGAAGCATTTGAGTACCTCCTCGAATCCCGCACAGCACCCGGCATCAGCCACCAAGAGAAGGCCGGCATCGCAGTCCTCAAGATGTTCCAAATCATGAGCCAGATTTTGTTTCTCATGACATACAGCGACAGCGAGTCACAATTTGACGTTTTCCAGCCTCATTTCAAGGCCATTGTCGATCTTGCTTCTGAAGTGGTGGGCGATGAAGAGAGACGGGCGGCAGCCAAGAGGTGTCCCGACCCCTCGCAATGTACTCACCGTCACAATCATACCCCGGATATCTTTGGCGGCCACGAGTACAATACTTTCCACATCAAGCCCAGCTTCAGCGCCGACCTGGGTATTGTCCCGCCCTTGTTCGTGGTTGCCACCAAGTGCAGACATCCCGTTATCAGGCGACAGGCCATCCAGCTTTTGAGAAGCAGCGCGCGGCGGGAAGGCATGTGGGACAGCGAGCTCACAGCGCGAATCGGACAATGGGTTGCCACGATCGAGGAGGAGGAGCTTCTGTCTTCACCGTCTCCCGAGGCGCGTGTCTCTCAAGCCGGCGCCAACGGAAGACACGGATCAGTGGACTTTGGCGAGGATATCCCGCTGGGACCCGGCGGCAATGCCCGTTGGGATGCTCGACGGGATAGTGCGATTTCCGGACTGATCAAATCGAAGCGGTCTGTCCCTGAAGAGAAGCGCGTCATGGTCCGGGCGGTGGACTTTGACCTAAGGGCTAGGTTTGCCAACCTCCAGGTCGGCACACGTGGCATCATCACCGGCATGCCAGACATGCGGTCTCGTGTTACCCATATCACGTGGTAGGCCACTGCCTGAGAAGAAGAAGAAGAAGAAGAGAACATGAGGAAGATGAGGCGTAGGCGGGCAATCTTCAGGGAAGATGTTGAAATGGTCATATTTGCGTTTGATTTTTGTATTGGATATACCCCCGGCGATGTGCAAAACACAAGTGGTCATTGGGCCGTTTCTGGATCTCTTCTCTACACAACTACGACAAAACGTCCTACGATCTGATGATTCATGGGAGTATCAAAGCGTTGTTTTTGTCATAGGAACGGAAGAGCACCAGGGCCGGCAAGGCTGTGGGTTTCAAGCAAGGAAGGGAGCGATAGCGCTGCATTTAAGAGGAGTTGTATGGTCACGAAAGAGAAAACAAAACACACAAAAGGGATCAAAACTTGGACTGCGCAAGCAATAATAGTCAACTTGTTGGTTAATCAAGACGATGACATGGCACTATGGCATGCACGAGAAAGACATACTTGGCTGATTTCTACATTGATCTGGGCTGTGATGGTGAGCTGATATCCAGATGTTTGAAGGCCAAGGTAGAGAGACATGCTACCCTGTCAGCGCATGGCAGGTAGAATCCGGAGGCGTATTGGACTTATACCACCTGTCGTCATTCACGGACCACGTATACCTATCCCGAGCACGGACTACCGCAGCTGACAGGTTGACAGGCGGTAGGTGTACTATCTGAGTCCTGCACCGCCCGGGGAGCGTCATCGTCAGGTCCGGTATCATGTGGGTCCTCCTCGGAGCCGGTGATCGGTGCAGTATATCCACTTTCTTCCGCGAACATACCGGGCTGGGCGGGCACGCGGGGAAGCGCTCCGCGTTCGTTAGCGGGACATGATAGTTGTGTATCCGAAACTTTCAGTGTCTTCTCATACTCCTTTTCTTTTTTTTTTAAAAGTGTCTGCCCAGCCCCATACTGAGAGAAGGTGAGCCAAGAGAGAGCCTCTCACATGTGAATTCAGTCGAAGTATTAAATGGTACGGCGGAGGCCATCTCAGAATTTTTCGGTGCCCCTTGACCATGTCACTGCCTGTCTGTCTCCTAGAAACGGCTAGGAGCTGTTGGGGTGATGCCAGTGGGGGGGGGGGGGGTAAGGTGTGGGCACGATTTTGCTTTTCGGCTACGGTGACATTCCGTCAGTTGGATGGGATTTTTGGTGATGCTGGTCTTGGTCGTCCCCCTTGGGGTGAAGATGGGAATACTGCCGCATGTATCCTATAGATTTGAAATCCTCTGCTGTTACCGATGTAGGCAAGGGGTTACTGGAGGTATGATCTTCGATGTCTAAGCAGGTCAAGGGCAACGGGGCATTCCGATTTCCATAAGTTTCCCTGAGCATCATTGCAAAAATCGGTTCAACAAGTACATGGGTAGATACGTTAAATCTTGAGAAGATGAGTAAGAGTCTTCCTCTGAACTGGGCCTCTAGTTCAGGAAATGAGAAGGAAATAAGTAAATCGATAAGAAGGAAGGGGGAAGACTATGGTAGCGAGGGGCAAGAACGAATGTCGGACCCCTCAGTGGGTCGCTGTTTGTCATGAGAGAACTGAGAAGAAGAAGAAGGAGAAGAAGAAAAGAAGGAGAAAGTGTGAGCAATGAGCAACAGAATACTCCATAGCGCGGCTAACGATATTGGACAATGAGAATGCATGAATTAACCATTTGGGCTTGACAGCGGTTTCCCAGTTACGGTAGCGGATACACAGGCAATTGTCGCCTCTTAGCGTGGGTGAGCGGTGACACGAAAGCAGAATGTGGATAGTCGTGAAGAAAAAAAATTTGACGATCTACCTTAGAAGCAACCAGCTCGAAATTGCCATATGAGTGGGGGGAGGGGTTGTTATTGTTTTCTCCCAGTCTATTCAGAATTTTCGTTGATGAGGTGAAGCTTCCTGGAAGATGGTTGTTCAGAGAGGTCCCATTGCGGATGAGACCCCGCTAGGGGTCCAGGCACGGCTGCTCGGGTTTCGACTGGAGGACCCTTCCCTTGGGTCTGAATTTTTATTTTATTTTAAATCTTCAGCGTTTAAGCGGGAGCTTAACACGATGCCATGAAGATACTGCGCGAGAGACACCTATGGTAGGATGTGGTTTCTGTTAGCGGTAAGCACGTCCAGGGCACGCTTGAGTTGTGTTTCTTGGCGATGCTCTACACACATTCCCAATTGAGTTTGGATCCCAAAAGAGTCAAGGACTGACAGCAAACGAGAAAAAAAAAAGATTCACCCTTGCAAACGAAGTGCAGTTCTGGTCCAATGGATCCGCCAAAAATCCTCCGCCTGGCGCCAATTGGATGCGTCTGGGAGTTCCAAAAAGTTCGAGATCAACAGGGACGTGGGGACACGATCCAATGACATCAGTCACCGCTGCCCAAGTGCGCAACAGCCAGTAAAGACTGCAGCTTTTGTCCTCCATCCTTGAGAGCTGGCGTCACAGGCAACACACAGGAACCCAAACAGCACAAAGGTGACGAGAGAGATGCAGGCGACCTGTATGAAAATTTCTTCAATTTTTTTTTTCTCTCTCTCTCTCTCTCTCTCTCTTGTTTCCCTCCCTCTTCTGTTTGTTCCTGGGCCAAACTGGCGTCACGGCGCCTCTGCTCTCTGCTGTGACCCATTCACCCCTCCCCTTGCCTCCTCTTCCCCCACGTATTCGGAACCACAGGTCCCTTTTTAACAGAAGATTCTACCCATTCAAGTAGAGGAAAACAAATAAACAATACTGTACGGATATTCGTACATGTACCTACCTACCTTGCCATAGATTTGATAAGCAGCCCAGGTTCATACCTTGGTTTACCTTAGTACGGAGTACTTAAGACATTGTTGCCCCTTGTGCCGCCCACCCCTCCTCCACTTACTTTTGCTTGCTTCTGAACAAATCCTTTGCGACTCAGGCTAATTAACAACCCCGCCAACTTTTTTTTTTTTTTTAAATCACTACCTACCCCGCCACGAAAGAAAGTTGAAAAATCTCAGCACCCTTCTTGAGATTTCCCTCCTTTGACGTTTTCACTCACTCCTTCTCACACTCCATCACTTAACTTATCCTTTACCCTTCCACACACACATACACACACAACACCGCCAAAATGACTGAAATGGTTGAGACCGGTGTCACCTACGAGCAGCTCGCTGATCTTGAGCACGAGTTCGAGATCGTCGAGAACGAGATCGGTATGTTTTGATTCCATCTTGTGCAAACCCTCACATCCTGCAAAATTCGTCTTCTTGTCCTTTTTTTATTTTATTTCAGCTAACGCCCTGCCCAGTCCGCAAGCAGTACGAGCTCTCCAAGCCTCTGTACGAGAAGCGCGCCGCCATCGTCTCCAAGATCCCCAACTTCTGGGCTCTCGTCTTTGAGCAGTCGCCCCCCGAGGTTGACGAGCACATCCAGCCCTCCGACGCCGCCCTGCTCCTCTCCTCCCTCAAGAACATCTCCGTCTCCCGCCCCGAGATCGAGAACGGCTCCGGCGGCGACCCCCGCTCGCTGACCATCCGCTTCGAGTTCAACGAGAACGAGTACTTTGAGGACTCGGTCATCGAAAAGACTTTCTGGTACCGCCACTCCGCCACCTACACCGGCCTCGTCTCCGAGCCCGTCGACATCAAGTGGAAGGCCGGCAAGGACCTGACCGAGGGTCTCCTCTCCGCCGCTAAGAAGGTCTGGGACCAGGGCCCCATCACCCCCGGCAAGCTCACCCCCGAGGCCGAGGCCCTCCGCAAGAAGGTCGAGGAGACCGCCATGGGCGGCGTCTCCTTCTTCTCCTTCTTCGGCTACGTCGGCAAGCGCATCTCCGCCGAGGAGAGCAAGGCCGCCCTCGCCAAGGAGGTCAAGGAGTTTGAGGACCGCAAGGCCGGCAAGAAGGCCGCCGAGGAGGCCGAGGACGAGGGCGACGAGGACGAGACCGAGTTCGAGCTCGAGATCTTCCCCGACGGCGACGACGTCGCCGTCGCCGTCGCCACCGACCTGTGGCCCGAGGCGCTCCACTACTTTAGTAAGTTCCTCCGCGACGGTGCCGTCGCTGCTGAAGGACAGGATGGAGACTTACTCTCAATGATAGCCCAAGCCCAGGAGGCCGGCGAGCTGTCCGATTGCGAATTTGAGTCCGACGACGAGGAGGATGAGGATGAGGAGATGGGCGACGCCGAGACCACCCCCAACAAGAAGCGCAAGGCTTAGATTGATGACTACCACCGACGACTACAACACCCACCCACACACACCCACCCACACACACACACACACACACACACGCATGATGATGAACTTTCTTAATATTAGACAAAACCTGGTGATACCATGATCGAGTCCCCCTCCTAGAGGAAGAGGGAGGGACTTCTGAATCCAAAAAGTTTTCGTTTGTTATACCACTACTTGTCCCTACTACTACACTCTGTGACCTTATTGTCCATGTCTGCGGTTGAGAGATGTTGACCTTATCCGGCGATCTTGACTTTCGTTTATCAGCACTCCTCTGTCCTACCCCGAAAAGGAAGGCCTCGCCACTGTCTGCCCCAGTCCATGCCTACCATGTGCTGAGCTAAGCTCCGCAGCGCTATGTTCTGCGGGTAGCTCGACGAAGTTGAAGTGGCCGGTATTATGTCCCTCGCTGAACGCATTGGTCCTGGCCGGCCCCTGGGATCCAAAGTGCTCGCTGCCAGGTTTCTGGGATCCTGGAAGTGTGCCGCCTGACTCCTGCTGCGGTGACGCCTGGTGTCGTCGTTTCTTTCTTTTCAGGAAGAACACTGCCGGGCAGATAACGAGGACGAGACCTGCAACACCACCGATGGAGGCTCCTACAATGGCACCAATGGGCGGCTTGGATGACTGACTTGTCGTATTGGGTTGTCCCGTAGTTGAGGGGTCCGAGGTCGAGTTGTCGGGCGCTCTTTTGGGTCAATATCTCGCACATACACACTCTCGCACGATGCCAAGCTCACTCACGCCTAAGAAACAAGGCCTTGACCTCCTCACTCGCCCATATGATAGAGTCTAGTCCCCCTTGGACATACCACTGCTTCACCACAACCGGCGAACCGCATGGCAGCGCTTGGGAATCGTACCGGTCTGACCAACGCATCTCCGTCATGTCAAAGATGCCCAGCCCAAACTCCCAGGGGTCTGGGTCTGTCAGGTACTTAGGAAACCCTACGGACCAGTCTACCCCGCCAATGGAAAGCATCTGACGGCCTCCATCGGCCACGGAAACGCACGCGTGATCCGCCCGAGGGATCGACGAGCCGGCCGCTTTGAAGAAGACGAACCCGGGCAAGCTGAGTACGTAGACATCGCCAGAGACGCTATCTACCTTGTTGAAGTCTGTCACTGAGCTGAGTCCGCCGTAGAGAAATCTGAGTGACGAGCTGGCATTAGTTTCCGTCACCTGTTACAAAGAAGCGAGATGATGGGAGTTGTTTCCCTCACATCTCGTACGTGTTATTGGTGCTGGAAGCACCCACGACACAAAACTTTCCTCGCCCTGTCGGTCTGGAGCCTGTGGTTTGTTGAGTATACCACTTGTCGGCTAAGCAAATGTCAGTAAGGTACCTTGTTGAGAAACGCGCCGTTCAGAGAGTCTACTGACTGCTGGGATGATACAAGGTGACCTTGTTAAAATCCATCTGCGTCCAATCCTTCATTGAGACTCGCGACTGAGCTCCGCCTAAGAAGAGCAGCAGTCCGCCGGACCCGAACGGCACAAACTGTGCTGAACCCCTTACTAGGGTTCCATATTGGCCGAACCCTGTCGAGGACGTGTTTCTTATCTCTCCAGAAGTCATGCTGTATGATATTAGTCCAGGAAGGGCGAGCGACTTATCTTTTATTGAGGCATCACTTCGGGGGGGTAGCAGCACCGCCAAAGTAGTATCCCACGTCCTTGCTCTGGGCGAAAGAAGCATCTAGAGTGCGGACGAGACGGCCGAAAGCGACGACGCTCATGGGGTTTACCTGAGACCATGTTCCGCCGCCGTTACCGTCCACTTCGAAGCGCCATATCTCGTTTGAAGATGGTCTGTCGGAGTAGGCCATGGTGCCGCCCCAAACATAGAATCCGTTTGAGGATGGGACGCGCCACAAGGCCTGCTTGTTGAGCTTGGGCCCATTCTTGGGGCGTGGATGTCATCGTTACGCTAGAGGTGGTCCATGAATGCCTGAGACTGATGGAGAGTGTCGAGTTGACTGCAGAGCCGTCAACGTCCATGATTTGTCCTCATTCAAATCCAAAGGAGAGGTCAATCTTACCTGCCCACGATGGGTGATCGGCGGGCATCCCAACTTTGCCGTTGTACAATTGGGATACCTCGCCGCCGTCAATGTACACATAGTCCCCTATCACAATCGCCACTCAAGTCAAAACCTAAAGCTTAGACTTAAAAGCTACATGGAGGAGTGCGACATACCTGAATGATAGGCTCTCCTTAGAAAATCAGACGAGAACGGAGCGTCATCGCGTAGTATCGGCCTTGAGCTTCCAGAGGGGCTCCGGCACCAAATGCCAACCACCAACCAAGAGAAGAGGAAGAATACTGAACGAAGCATTTGTAGAAAGAGATCGCACACATCCGGCCTGGCCTCTGTGATGAAGAAACGAAACGAAGTCTCACGATGTCTCCAAGAGTCTGAACTAGGGAGAGGGGGAAAAGGGTATCTAAGAGACGCACCGACATGTCCTTAAGGCTCCAAGAAGGGGCCTCGTCGGTTCAGAGAAACTGAACCTCAGCCGCTGCCTGCAGCCCTTCTCCTGTTGGTCTGACACCCTACCAGAATCCCTGTGTAACCAGACTGGAGACCCTGCTGCTTTAGCGTACGGCGGGAATTCTAAGCCCGATGATTGACTACTGGCTATTTCCACTGCCTATGAAGCTTGGATACAGACGTAAGCCTAGGCAAAATCCGTCACCATCGAGGCTGCGGCAGGATTTATGAGGCGAGATAAGTGTCAGACGAGCAGACTGTCGTCGCCCAGTCATTTGGTAGCCTGCCGCGCGCTGGATGAAGGCCCACGCTTGGTTGGGGAACGATCGTCGTTGTGAGCATGCCTTCGCAATCCTTCTGACGGCGAATTTGATATCATTGTCAATCGCAGAATGCAGAAGGGCAAGTGGATAGCTCGGACTAAGTTTGAGACGGCTAAATCTGATGGAGGAGTCCTGCAATGGACGATAGCACGGGTGGTTATTTAAGCTTAAGTTTAACGACAGGGACCCCCATCGACCCCTTGCTCTTTTCCTAGAATCTAGAGAATGGGATCATCCGCAGCACTTTCCGAGGTCAAACGGGCGGAAGGGTTCATCAAGTATTGTGGGGCTTCGTCACAACTTCTCAAGCCGAGTTTTCTTGGCATGCTCTTGCATAAGATAAGGTACCTTGGGTAGGGTAGGTAGCCTTTGCCTGCGAGCCTGCCTATCTGCGGGCGTAAGAAGGACCAAGACCTGGCCATGAGGCCAATCTCGACAGAGCCTCGGGAATCCTGTTCCTTGGGCAAGATATCTAGATGCCGACGAAACGTCAAAACAGAAGGTGCCTGCCGTCTACATCGGCAAGTTGGCCTGGCTCTTGTCGATGTGCTCAATTTCATGTCTAGAATGGTAGGGTGTTGTTATCTCGTAGCATCTGACTGTGATATCCTGGCTCAATGACGGTGACTGGAGGGCAAGCACAGCCACCTCGTGCGGCTGATTTCTACGGTACATTGTGCCATACTTGACTCTTCGCGCGTGGCAGAGGATGTCGTACTATTCCACAATTTCATCGCTCTTCGCGTTCAAGCCTCAAGACCGAAGGCGCATCCACCCTCCCTCAGGTACGCGAAAGTCCAGTACTTCAGCCGTATGACTAAAACGACACTAGCGAGAGGGCAATGGGTGTTTGTATTTCTCATGCTGCAACTCGAACGGACCTGGGTTCCGGTACATGCAGACTTGCGGCTCACTACAGACAGTGCTCGGCTCTCGGTCAACGACGTCTCCGGGCCGGCAGATCACGGCGACCGACGACGGTAGAACAGTGGGGATTTCGCCGGACATTCTCGGAGATATACGTCTAAAACCCTCCGGCCCGTCCAAACCCAATCCTCCCCCAGCATTGTGATGACGTAAGAAAAACTGGGGAAATAGCTGCGTAGAGTTCAGGTGATGTGCACCACAGACCCCCTCGCAGGGTCGCCGCGCGGGAACCACTCCGACTTACCCGCATCCAGCCATCCTATGGGAACAGCTCCGTTTCTTTACCACTCGCGCTCGCCCTTTCGCGTGTGCCTCATTTGTAAGCTGGCGTATGGTCCCGGGTCTTGCAGAGGTTCGAACCCCCCCTGTCTTTGATACATATTAAGGTTCAGTCACGGTCTTTGCCGTTCCCACGATGTCATGGCGATGCTTATCTCTAAGTAAAATGAGATTGTCACCCACGGTTCCCAAGAGAATCTCAAAACAAGTCGCATATCTCAGAAACCCCATCTTCCCATACAGCCAGACCAGAGCTATCAACATGGCGACAGCATTCAAGGTCAATGTCCCGGCGACGAACACGGGACTGTGGAAATTTGATCAGAAAGATGCTACCGCAAGTAAGGTGTCTGAGCTGCTCCAAGAGGACCTGGAGGTATGCACAAATCGTTTCTTACACCACAGTGAGCCGTATGCTAATCTTGCGTAGAAACATCATGTCTTCTTCAACCAAGAAGGCTTCCACAACCACGTAAGCTCTCCAATACTCGCATCACAGCATACTCCGTCACTAACACCATCCGAGATCCCTCACCATGTCCTAGCCCTCTTCGGCACCGGTGCGGGCCCGGACGCCATCCAGACGGCCTACAAGGAACACGCAAACTACCAGCGCCCAGCCCAGACCCCGCGCGACTCCGTCGCAGACGAGCTACACGACTGGGACCGCGCGAAAGGGTACCTCGGCAAGGAAAAGCACTACCCAGACTTCCTCCTCTTCTTCCAGTGCGAGATCGAGAGGCTCGGGGGCTGGGAGGCGGCGCTGAGCGAGCACCTCTTCAAGGGCGACGAGCGCGCCGACGACATGTTCCAGCGCATGTTCTCCGGCTTCTTGCACCCCATCATCCAGCTCATGTACGGCGTCGAGTGGGAGCAGCCCGCCATCGTCGCCGAGGGGCTGGCGCAGGCTGCCGTGCACAATAATCAGCTCAAGGACTTTTTCAACGAGACGGAGAAGCGTGCGGCGGCGGCTAGCGGGTCGATGCCGCTGATTTCGGATCTTGTCGACGAGATTCGTCGGGACCAGAAGCTTGCTAAAGCTGCTGAGATGAAGGATGCAAACAAGATCTTTGACGGGATCTTGAAGCGCGCGCCGGAGGAGATGCTGCGGATCGCGAGCAAGGTCAGGGTTCGTCCCGAGGAGCTGGACGAGAGGACGGCTGAGATGTTTCACAATGCCTTTTACGTTGCCGGCGGCGCGGCTCTTCGGCAGGGTAAGGAACCAAAGTGGGATTTCTTCTTGATGTGAGTTGATCTTCCTTTCTTTTCCATTTTCGATTTTGGGAAGGCTGGCAACGACAACGACGAAAGAAGCTGACACCGTGAAATAGACACCACACGAACGCGGCTCCCATCTTCCTCAGCTTCAACTCTAAGCCGTGGATCTCGACGGAGAACAAGGTGCGTATGTTGGAGTACAAGATCCGGATGGACCTGGTGCAGTACGCGGCGCGCGGGTGTCCGCCGCTCCGCCTGGAGGATGTCAAGTCGTACAGGCCAAAGGACAAAGACGAGGGCAAGGACTTGGTCTCCAAGCCGACTGGTAAGATGCATTATTCGAAACACTCAGAATAGCGGCTGACCAGCTCTGCAGATCTCCTTCCAAGATTTCATGATATTGTAGATGACGGCCATACCATAAAGGTGGTTAGGGCCATTGGGATTTGCCAGGAACTTTCATCAAAGTACGGCGACAAACCTTGGATCAAGATCAAAGATGACCAGTGGCTCAACCTCACCTACATGTTGTTGGACAGCACAGAGCATGATGAGACTAGATGGGTTCGCTCAGCGGGCTTCGAAGAGGCGTGGAAGGTAAGCCGATAATATTCACCATACCTATGGTGTACACTTATGGGACTAACCCTATTCGTAGGATATTCCTGCTCGCGATTGACTAGCCGACGGCGGTAGGAAGGCATCGAGGCTCTAGAAGGACAATATGGCGATGACACGAGTGTAACAGTAGCAAAATCATGGCAGCTTGACAAAACGGGGGGTATACATTTGTAATAACATCTGTGATTTTATTCTAGCCCAATCCACTCGTCTCCGTCGGAATCACTCTGGCCCTCCTCCGCGTCGCCAATCGCCAAAGTCTTGGCGGGGGCGTCGAACGCGGCCAAGTCTAGCATTTTTACACCGCTCGTCGCCTCCTTTTCGTTGCTGGCCTGACCCAAAAGGTAGTCCACCATGTACACGTTATCGTCCGCGAGCCTCCTGATCTCGTCGCGCATCCTCGAGACGGCTCTCGCCACGATTCTCAGCTCGACATCCACCTTGCCCCTGTGCTGCGTGAGCCACGCGCCGTGCTTGTCCACGAGCGCCTTGACCCAGAGCAGGCAGAACTCAATGTGCGGCGTCTCCTCCGTCTGTGCCGCGACGAAGCGCAGTAACCTGGGGACGTAGACGATGGGCATGTCCTGGACGACCAGGGCGATGTCCGTGTGCGGTATTGAGAGGAAGACGCGCTTGATGAGGCCGGCCTCGTTGAGGCGGAAGGCCATGACCAGGGCCTTGAGGTAGTCCTTCTCGTTCTCCAGGACGGCGAGCGTGGACGCGGGGGTGATTTCCATGTTGAGATCAAAGGGGTCGAACTGCATGAGGTTGTCGAGGCTGTAGATGAGCAGGCCTTCCGTGGTGGCGGCGCAGAAGGCTGTGCCGGTAGGCGTGAATGCTACGCCTGAGACGCGGACCTCTGGCATCCTCTTCCTCGCGGAAGGATCGCCGCGCTTAGAGCCCGGGAGGGAGTCGTCTCTTCTGTTCTCGGGGTCCGAGGCCTCGCCCTGGTCGTCGATCAGACCA